ACTGAACTTTCGCTGCTTGCCAATGTGATACCAGCGCCTGGCACAGTGCCTGGCACCTGGTAAGTGTTTTAGTAAACACTTCTTTAATTAGTGCATGGATGGAATTCTCAAAGATAAAGTGTTGAAGCTGAATCTATCAAGAGGGAAAACCTTCATTTTTGGATTTTATACTTTCAAGGGAACAAAAACAGAGTAGATCGTGTCCAGAAAATAAAAATCTAGTTGGCAAACAAGCTAGACCAGGAACTGGGGAGTAGTTCAGGGCTACTCTGGAGAAAACTCAGTGGAGAACTCTTCCTTTGTTTAGTGTTGAGGAGATGGGCTAGGGTCAGAGGTGGGTGCTTTGACTTCCAGAGTTTGAGGAGAGGCTCTGGAGTGACCAGTTCAGGGAAGAAGTGGGTTGTGATTGCAGGTGGTGAGCATCTTTTTCCCTCGGGGTGCTCAACCATACACTTATGGGATTCTTGGGGATTGTTGTAGAAGATTCAGCTGTCAAGAGCTAAGCAACAGAGAGCTATGGGCTGAAGAGAATTAGAGTGGGGACTTGTGAATGGGAGGGGCCCTGTCCTGTCAAAGGAGCAACCTCCTCTCAGCTCTAACCAAGCATTACTTGTGTTGCAACATTTTTTTTTCCAAGAAATTTGCAATTGAATGGTTTAAATGGGAAATTCCTTCATTTTTGAAATCCTTCATGTAGCAAACAAAGCCCATCTGTTGGCTTTCTCTTATGGCCCACCAATTCGCCACTCCTGTCCTAGAGAAAAGGGGGATTATATACAGTTAGTAGCACAGCTTCTGCACTAGAAGGCCCTTTCAAAACTTTTCTAACCTTGGTTGACTTCCTGAGCTATAAAAATGTGAAGGATTATTAATAGTGCCACTATATCGCTAGAATATGACTCAGCATTTGAGAAGAGCAGATAGGATGAAGGAAGGATTAGGATTTGATGGAAAGAAGGGGGTCTCTGGAATTAATCTGTTATGTACAACCTCTCATCATTTCATGGCAATAAATATTAATTGCTGGTAATAATAGAGGATGAGGAAGTTACATAAGCAAGTCTGAAGAGGACCAAAAGAGCCAGAATTATTGGAAGTGACAAGGCAGTGGAGAAAGAGGAAGAGAGACAGACAGAGGCAGAGATAGAGAGACAGAGAGACAGAAAGACAGAGAGCATGGAGGAGGGAAAGCAGCTTGGGACAAAAACTCCCATGTGCACAAAGGGAAAGTAAGATCTGGTCTCCATACTCAGCCCAGGGGCCTGAACACCGAAGGTCTTCTGCAGGCTGTATCAATCACTAATAAGGTAGAGTGTTTTGGCTTTGTGATAAAAATCAATGCTATGGATTTTTTTGTTGTTGTTCTGTGATGACACTGAGAGAGTCTAAAAGGAATGGGAATGGATACTACCTCCCAATCCAATACGATTACAATGCACCTTTTTATCCATTATTGTGATATTCAGAAAATGCACGTCCAGGGAGAACTGGCACCTGTGGCTGGTGAGAGGATTTCCTCACTGGAACTCCTAACCCTCCTTCCTGGAGCCTGTGAAAAAAGCATTCTGGCAGAGAAGGGAGACCTTCCACACACCCTCCGTGTGGTGTGAAGTCTACTACATCCTGATGTGACCCTCGGCTACGTCAGGGACCGTCTCCTACCCTCCCAGCCCTGATGGGCCCAGCCACATGGCCCATGTAAACACTGGCCAGGGGGTTAAGGGCCTAGGAGCTGTCCTCAGGGAAGGAGAGATGGGACTCTTATAGGTAAATTCCCAGACCTCTTGTTCCTGGGGTAGGCCAGCTCTGAGGTGTGCTCCATGCTACCTCCCAGAGGTCCCAGCAGGTCTGAGCCTCAGGGAACTGTGTCAGGAAGCTGCTCATGGACATGGCCTCTCCTCCCCACTTCTCTACCTATACTTCCTAAATCACCTCCCACATAAACCACTGGCCTGAAAACCTCTGTCTCAGGGTCTGGTTTAGGGGAAACACAATCTACCACAGGCAGCGAGGAACTTGTTGTCTGGGTGAATCCAATGGCATTATAATTCTGGTGTAAATTGTTGAATTCTGTCCGCTGCCAAACTCATCTGCTGAAATCCAAACTCCCAGGATCTCAGAGTGTGACTTTATTTGAAGACAGGTCTTTACAGAAGAAATCAAGTTAAAATGAGGTCCTTAGAGGGAGCTCTAGCCCAATATGGCTGATGTCCTTGTGAAAAGGGGAAATCTGGCCCCAAAGACACACATAAAGGAGGGAAGGTGATTAGAAGAGAGATAGAGAGAACATGACTGTCCAGGAGCCTGGGGCAGAGACCTGGGACAGCCCCTTCCTCGCAGGTCTCAGAAGGAACCAACCCACTGACGCCTTGTTTTTGGACTCCTTGCCTCCCGAGCTGTGAGGCAATAACCTCCTGTTGTTTAAGCCATTCAGTTTGGGGTACTTGGTTACAGAAGCCCTAGCAAACGGATGCACATTGACTTCTCTCGAGACCAGTTATTGGCCCAAGGGTCATCCTGAGCATTCTACATGCATCATCCCATGGAATCTCCACAGCAGCCCTTTGAGGTAAAGACTGATATTATTTCTCATTTATGGATGAGGAGGTGGCAGCCCAGGGATGTTAAGAAAGTTGCCCAAAGCCACACAGATAGCCAGTAGTGAGGCTAGAATTGAACATTGACAGTCTGTTTTCTGATCCACATTTTTACCTGTGATGAGGCTCACTTCCCACCACACTGAATTCTTCTATTAGGTGAACTGTTACGTGCCTGTTTTAAATTGCTTAGATGATGGTGATTTTCAGGTCTTGTATTAGTCAGTGTTCCCCAAAGAAACACAAACAATAGAATCTCTATCCATCATGATTTGTCTGTCATATCTATCATCTCTATCGTCTCTATCATCTATCTATCATCTATCTATCTATCATCTATCTATATCTATATCTATATCTATCTATCTATCTATCATCTATCTATCTGCCTTTTTTTTTTTTTTAAGGAATTGGCTCACATGATTGTGGGGAGTGTGTCTGAGTCTCCAAAGCAGGCCTGGAGGCTGGAGACCCAGGGAAGAACTGATGTGTCCTCAGTCTAAAGGAAGTCTGGGGGAGAGCTTCTCTTTTGCGAAAACTATTTTTTCTCTTCAGGCCTTCAACTGATTAGACAAGGTCCTCCCCCCGTTATGGAGGGTCATCTGCTGTACTCAATGTCTACTGATTTAAATGTTAATCACACTTAAAAATAAAACACCTTCACAGCAATTTTTAGGCTGGTGTTTGAGTAAGCTGCTGGTGCCATAGCCGAGCCAGTTAACAATTAAAACTGACCATTATAGGTCCTTTGAAGATGGTGTGACACAGCAACCACTCTCAGGGTCATGCAAGTGCAGGGTCAGTGCCTGAACGTGAGAATGAGCCTTCCTTAAATTTTGTGCTCTGGGCACCTCACTGGCCTCACCTGGGCCCTGGCCCTGCTGTCCATGAAGGAGTAAAGATTGTGTCTTAAAGCTGGGCCTTTTTTTTTTTTTTTTTACAATAGTGTGGTTGGGGAGTCAGACAGACCAGGGTTTGAACCTTGCCTTCATCATTCCAAGCCTGTTTCCTCAGCTGTGGAATGGGGATAATAACAACACTTGCTTTCCAGGGATACAGTGAGAACACTGTATTGACTTGGGCATAAGGAGGGAAAAGAACAGCATTTGTTATGGCAAGATCTTTTTATTATAACAGAGGAATTATTTTTTAAGCATTTGTTATAATTTGAGGACATGAAACAGACAAGTTTTACCTTTATTTTTGCATCATTGGATGCCTAGTCTTGAGGAGCAAGCCCTAGAAATTCTTCTGTATGTCACCTCTCCCCTTTCCTGCTGTCAGCTATGCCCGACATTCGTCTTAGCTACAGGATCAACTTTAGTTTCAACCCAGACTCCTTAGTTTCTCTTCTCTCTGCCCAGAACTTAGGAACTATTTTTCTTATAACTCTCCAACCATACTGACTGTAAAAACAGTTTCTCAAGGTGCTTATAATTATTTTACATTTCTCAGCTATTTATGTGTAGTTAAGTGCCCCAGAACAAACAGAAGGGAGAACTACTGGGTCTCTTAACTACATATAAATAGCAGAGAAATGTAAAATAATTATAAGCCTTGAGAAGCTATTTTTATGATCAGTATGGTTGGAGGACAGCTGTACTATCTCCAAATATTTGTCCCATTTGCTATGTCTTGGTGCCTGGAATTCTCACAGAACCACTTAGTCCTTTGAGCAAAGCCACAAGGACCTTGGCTGACATTCACTTGTTTTCGAGAGAGAATAAAACTCTGAGCCAGTGATGTCTTTACAGGCAAGAGTAATACCTTTACATAGTCCCTAAGGAGAACAGAAAGCCTTTATCAACCCAAACAAGGACAGGGAGGTTTCGATAAAAGGTGGTGGTGACAGCTGGGGAACATCATTACATGGATCTCAAGATATTTCCAGAAGGGAAGACCAGCGATTGTGGAGGCAGGGTGGGGCGGTGCAGTGGGCAACTGCTGGATACTTTGAGAGAGTCACATCTGGGTTTTCAGACTCAGGATGTGGGGAAATGGCAAAAAGGCACAGGGGTCTATCTGCTGGGTCCCAAAGCAACCACACTCTCATACCCTCTGGGGCCTTGTCCAAGCTGGTCTGGGTTTGGGAATGTCATTACTTTGGCTTTCTATTCAGTGCACTCCCCTTATCAATCATGTCTAGCCCAGCTGTCACTTGCTCTAGGGAAGCTTTCCCAGCACTTTCTCTCTCGGCCTGTTATCCACCCCTGCCACTTCTTTTCCTCCAACTCAGGAAATTCCATTCAGTCTTCCCAGTGCATGGGCTCCTTGCCCTTCCCTCCTTGAACCACCGCAGTCTCCACCAAGGCTCAGCAGGACCTCTTCCTTCTTTCTCTGTTCCCAGTGGGTCTCCATTCATTCCACCATTTTGGCCCATAGTATTTTTCAAAACGTGCCTGTCTTCTTGGCTGGACTGATCCTCTTTTAACACAATCTCTGCATGTAGTAAGTACTCGATTAACATATTTATTAATTGGAGTTAACTTTGCTTTCTCCACACTTCTGTAGGAACTTCCACCAGCCTCTGTGCCCTTGTGACATCCTGGTCTCTTTCCTGATGGTGGTATTTGATCAGTAGTTCAAAACTCTTATGATTCAATTGATTAACCCTTTTTTTTTTAAAAAAGATTTATTACTAGGTGTTATACACAACTGTTGAATTATTGAACACTACATCTGAAATGAATGATGTACTATGTGTTGGTTAAATGAATTTAAATTTTAAAAAGATTTATTTATTTATTTAAGAGAGACAGCGTGTGTACGTGCATGTATAATGTGGGGGGAGAGGCAGAGGGAGAGAGAATCTCCATTAGGTTCCCCGCTGAGTGTGGAGCCTGATTCTGGGCTTGATCTCATAACCCTGAGATCATGACCTGAGTAGAAATCAACTGACTGAGCCACTCAGCCCCTGAATTAAACATTTGTTACAGTTCTACTGGGTGTCAGAAGTGGTCAGTTAGGAGTAAAGGCAGAAGCCTTTGACATTCATTTAGTGATGGTTTCTTGAGGGAGAGGCTTTTGTTCTCAGTATACAATATGTTATCAATATATAACACTCATCTGTAATCTCCAGTGGTTCTTCCTTTTAGAAAGGTTTCTTGAACCAAGACTTTGTTAACTTGATTATGTGATGTGTATTATATGTGTATAATATGATGTGTATAACATGATGTGTATTATATGTTATACACAAACACGTGTATGCAGGCATAATTGTGCAATCAAGAACATAAATGAAGGTGGGGATGATGTTTATTCAAGGGTAAAAAAAGTTCTCTAAGAGGTCCCTCTATTTAAGCTTCTTAATTTCAAGCCCTGCTAAGGGTAAGTCTCTCCAAATCCTCGGGATTATTCAAATTTTACTATATTATGATTTCAATTTTTCCATGCAGGTAGGGTCTGCCTATGGGTATCGACTGCTGCAATGCACTGAATTTTTTCCACTCCTTCCCCATTTGTATGTTAAAGCCCTAAATCCCAGTGTGGTAGTATTTGAAGTAAGAAAGTAACTGAAGTAAGAAAGTAAGAAAGATTAATTGAAATCATAAGGATGGGGCCCTAATCTGATAGGCTCAGTGTCCTTGTAACAAGAGACCCCAGAGAGCTTGCTGTCTGTACCATGTGAGGACACAGTAAGAAGGTGGCCATCTGCAAATCAGGAAGAGAGCACTCATCAGAATCTGACCACACAGACGCTCTGATCTTGGGCTTTCAGCTTCTAGAAAAGTGAGAAAATGAATCCATACAGTTTAAGCCATCCAGTCTGTGGTATTTTGTTATGGCAGCCTCAGCAGACTGATCTAGACACAGAGCTTGAGGCAAAGAAAACTTCTGAGTATTCACAAAAATGGTTAACATTTGGCTTCTGTAAATAGAACCGGAATTCTTTACTGGAAAAACAGAACGAGTGATCTTAAATTTCATTTTGATGCCAGTGGCACCGCTGCATAAAGAGGAATTCCCTGCAGGGCGTGCTCAGGTTTGGCAAAGTGAAGTTCTGGAGGAAATACACAGGGATGTCTGTTCATTTAGACTGACTGTTTCAAAACAACATTGCCCCTACTGCCAAGGGAAAAAAAATGATATTGGCATTATAGACGGCTGCAAATTAATAGCCTCATCAAGAAGATAGATTTAAGAAAAGCCTTTGATTAGTTTTTAGCCTGATTAGTGTATTAGCCTGTTTTCTTTATAAGGAATTGTGATTATTGAAAAAGATTCCAATTTATTCTTTTTTAAAAAAGATTTTATTTATTTATTCATGAGACACACAGAGAGAGATGCAGAGACAAAGGCAGAGGGGGAAGCAGGCTCCCTGCAGTGAGCCTGATGTGGGACTCGATTCCAGGACCCTGGAGTAAAGACCTGAGCTGAAAGCAGATGCTCAACCACTGAGCCACCCAGGTGCTCCTGCACTTTATTCTTAAAATAAGCATTTACCATCACCCTATTCTGTATTCACTATTTTGGAAACTTCACAGAATAGTCATGATCATGGCCTTGAGTCCTGCACAGAGGGGAGGAGATGGAGACCCATGAGGTAGGGTCTGGAGATCCGTTGTGATCAGCTGTGACATTGGGCAGAGCAGTCTTAACATTCAATCGTTAAAACATTCTTCAGAATGACTTTGTTAGCAATTAGTTCAAGTATAAAGCTGTAATTTAGTCTTTTCTTTGATTCAAATTGGTCTTCTTGGTGAGTGACATCTTGTGATACTAACAAAAAATACGTCTAGTGTCTCTGCTATATTAAAGGTATGTTACTAATGGCCATGTGGCTTAAATATGTATTTTAGTTTAAATTGTAAATAAAGAACTTAACAAATGTAATAATGTCGTGATAGCAAATATTTTGGAGACAGGGAAAATTCTGAGATTTCCACTGTGTCAATCCATAGTCCCTCTGTCTGCCTCTCTCTTTGTATGTCTGTCTTTCTGTCTTTCCCTTATTCTGTATGTATCTATCTATATTTTTTTGTATATTTTTTTAATTGGAGTTCGATTTGCCAACATATAGCATAACACCCAGGGCTCATCCCGTCAAGTGCCCCCCTCAATGCCCGTCCCGCAGTCACGCCATCCCCCGCCCACCTCCCCTTCCACTACCCCTTGTTCATTTCCCAGAGTTAGGAGTCTCTCATGTTCTGTCACCCTCTCTGATATTTCCCACTCATTGCCTCCCCTTTCCCCTTTATTCCTTTTCACTATTTTTTATATTCCCCGTATGAGTGAAACTATACTTGATGAAGTCCCAATTGTTCATTTTTGCTTTTGTTTCCCTTGCCTTCATGGATGTATCTTGCTAGAAGTTGCTGTGGCCAAATTAAAAAAGGGTGTTGCCTGTGTTCTCCTCTAGGATTTTGATGGATTCTTGTCTCACATTTAGATCTTTCATCCATTTTGAGTTTATCTTTGTGTCTGGTGTAAGAGAATGGTCTAGTTTCATTTTTCTGCATGTGGCTGTCCAATTTTCCCAGCACCATTTATTGAAGAGACTGTCCTTTTTCCAGTGGATAGTCTTTCCTGCTTTGTCGAATATTAGTTGACCATAGAGTTGAGGGCCCATTTCTGTGTTCTCTATTCTGTTCCATTGATCTATGTGTCTGTTTTTGTGCCAGTACCACACTGTCTTGATGACCACAGCTTTGTAGTATAACCTGAAATCTGGCATTGTTATGACCCTGGCTATGGTATTCTTTTTCAATATTCTGCTGGCTCGGGATCCCTGGGTGGTGCAGCGGTTTGGCGCCTGCCTTTGGCCCAGGGCGCGATCCTGGAGATCCGGGATCGAATCCCACGTCGGGCTCCCGGTGCATGGAGCCTGCTTCTCCCTCTGCCTGTGTCTCTGCCTCTCTCTCTCTCTCTCTCTCTGTGACTATCATAAATAAATAAAAAAAAATAAAAAAAAATATTCTGCTGGCTCTTCAGCATCTTTTGTGATTCCACACAAATCTTAAGATGATTTGTTCCAGCTCTCTGAAGAAAGTTCATGGTATTTTGATAGAGATTGCATTGAATGTGTAAATTGCCCTGGGTAGCACTGGCATTTTCACAATATTAATTCTTCCAATCCATGAGCATGGAATATTTTTCCATCTCTTTGTGTTTTTCTCAATTTCTTTCAGAAGTGCTCTGTAGTTTTTAGGGTATAGATCCTTTACCTCTTTGGTTAGGTTTATTCCTAGGTATCTTATGCTTTTGGGTGCAATTGTAAATGGGATTGACTCCTTAATTTCTCTTTCTTCAGTCTCATTGTCAGGGTATAGAAATGCCAGATTTCTGGGCATTGATTTTGTATCCTGCCACACTGCCGAATTGCTGTATGAGTTGTAGCAACCTTGGGGTGGAGGCTTTTGGGTTTTCTAAGTACAGTATCATGTCATCTACAAAGAGGGAGAGTTTGACTTCTTCTTTGCCAATTTGAATGCCTTTTATTTCTTTTTGCTGTCTGATTGCTGAGGCTAGGACTTCTAGTATTATGTTGAGTAGCAGTGGTGAGAGTGGACATCCCTGTCATGTTCCTGATCTTAGGGGAAAGGCACTCAATATTTCCCCATTGAGAATGATATTTGCTGTGGGCTTTTCGTAGATGGCTTTTAAGATGTCGAAGAATGTTCCCTCTATCCCTACACTCTAAAGAGTTTTGATCAGGAACGGATGATGTATTTTGTCAAATGCTTTCTCTGCATCTATCGAGAGGATCATATGGTTCTTATTTTTTCTCTTGTTGATATGATCAATCACGTTGATTGTTTTGAGTGTTGAACTAACCTTGTATACCAGGGATAAATCCCACTTGATCATGGTGAATAATCTTCTTAATGTACTGTTGGATCCTACTGGCTAGTATCTTGTTGAGAATTTTTGCATCCATGTTCATCAGGGATATTGGTTTATAATTCTCCTTTTTGGTGCGGTCTTTGTCTGGTTTTGGAATTAAGGTGATGCTGGCCTCATAAAATGAGTTTGGAAGTATTCCATCCCTTTCTATCTTTTGGAACAGCTTTAGTAGAATAGGTATGGTTTCTTCAATAAATGTTTGATGGAATTCCCCAGGGTAGCCATCTGGCCCTGGACTTTTGTGTCTTGGGAGGTTTTTGATGACTGCTTCAATTTCCTCCCTGGTTATTGGCCTGTTCAGGTTTTATATTTCCTCTTGTTTCAGTTTTGGTAATTTGTGGTTTTTTGGAAATGCATCCATTTCTTCTAGATTGACTAATTTATTGGTGTATAACTGCTCATAATACATTTTTAAGATCATTTGTATTCCCTTGGTATTGGTTGTGATCTCTCCTCTTTCATTCATGATTCTATTAATTTGAGTCCTTTGTCTTTTCTTTTTTATAAGGCTGGCTAATGTTTTATCTATATTATTAATTCTTTCAAAGAACCAACTCCTGTTTTTTTTTTTATCTGTTCTACAGTTCTTTTCGTCTCTATTTCATTGAGTTCTGCTCAAATCTTTATTAACTCTCTTCTGCTGGGTGTAAGTTTTATTTGCTGTTCTTTATCCAGTTCCTTAAGGTTCGAGGTTAGCTTGTGTATTTGAGTTTTTTCCAATTTTTTGAGGGATGCTTATATTGTGATGTATTTCCTCTTAGGACTGCTTTTGCTGTATCCCAAAGATTTTGAATGATTGTATTTCATTTTCATTAGTTTACATGAATCTTTTTAATTCTTCTCTAATTTTCTGGTTGACCCATTCATCTCTTAGCAAGATGCTCTTTAACCTCCACGTGTTTGAATTTCTTCCAAATTTCTTGTGATTGAGTTCAAGTTTCAAAGCATTGTGGTCTGAAAATATGCAGGGGACAATCCCAATGTTTTGGTATCAGTTGAGACCTGATTTGTGACCCAGTATGTGGTCTATTCTGGAGAAAGTTCCATGTGCACTTGAGAAGAATACGTATTCAGCTGCGTTCAGATGCAAAGTTCTGTAAAATCTGTGAAATCTATCTGATCCAGTGTATCATTTAAAGCTCTTGTTTCTTTGGTGATGTTGTGCCTGGAATATCTGTCATTTCCAGAAAGTGCTGTGTTGAAGTTCTCCTACTATTAGTGTATTATCTAAGTATGTATTTACTTTGGTTATTAATCGATTGATATACTTGGCAGCTCCCACATTAGGGGCATAAATATTCATGATTGTTAGGTCCTCTTGTTGGGATAGATCCTTTAAGTATGATATAGTGTCCCTCTTCATTTCTTACTACAGTCTTTGGGATAAATTTTAATTTATCTGGTATGAGGATTGCTACCCCAGCTTTCTTTTGAGGACCATTGGAATGGTACGTGGTTCTCCAACCTTTCTTTTTCAGGCTGGAAGTGTCCTTAGGTCTCAAATGAGTCTCTTGTAAACAACAAATAGATGGGTCTTGCTTATTTATTTATTTATTTATTTATTTATTTATTTATTTATATTTATTTATTTATTATTGGAGTTCAATTTGCCAACATATAGCATAACACCCAGTGCTCATCCCATCAAGTGCCCCCCTCAGTGCCTGTCACCCAGTCACCCCCACCTCCTGCCCACCTCCCTTTCTATCACCCCTTGTTCATTCTTGCTTTTTTATCCAGTCTGAAACCCTGCATCTTTTGATGGGGTCATTTAGCCCATTCACGTTCAGTGTTACTATTGAAAGATATGAATTTAGTGCCATTGTAATACCTATTCAGTCCCTGTTTTTGTGGATTATTTCTTTGGGCTTTGTCTTTCTTTTACAGGATCTCCCTTAATACTTCTTGCAGAGCTGGTTTGGAGGTCACATATTCTTTCAGTTTCTGCCTATCTTGGAAGCTCTTTATCTCTCCTTCTTTTCTGAATGAGAGCCTTGCTGGATAAAGTATTCTTGGCTGCATGTTCTTCTCATTGAGTCCCTGACTATATCCTGTCAGCCCTTTCTGGTCTGTGGGGTCTCTGTGGAGAGGTCTGCTATTAATCTAATATTTCTCCTCATATAAGTTAGGGATCTCTTGTTTCTCACTGTTTTAAGGGTTTTCTCTTTATCTTTGGAATTTGCAGGTTTCACTATTAAATGTCAAGATGTTGAATGGTTTTTATTGATTTTAGTGGGGGGAACCTCTCTATATCCTGGATCTGAGTGCCGCGTTCCTGCCCCCCACCCAGATTAGGGAAGTTATCAGCTATAATTTGTTCAAATATGCTTTCTGGCCCTCTGTTCCTCTCAGCGCTCTCTGGAACCCCAATTATACATAGATTTTTCCTTCTGAGGCTGTCATTAATTTCTCTTAACCTTTCCTCATGCTCTTTTGTTTTTCTCTTTTTTCCTCAGCTTCCTTCCTTGCCATCAACTAGTCTTCTATGTCACTCACTCTTTCTTCCACCTCGTTACCCATCATCATTAGGACCTCCAGTTTGGATTGCATCTCATTTAATTGCTTTTTAATTTTGGCCTGATTAGATCTAAATTCTGCAGTCTTGAAGTCTCTTGAATCCTTTCTGCTTTTTTTCTGGAGCCATCAGGAGCTTTATAATTGTGCTTCTGAATTGTCTTTCTGACAGTGAATTGTAATCCAAATTCTGTAACTCTGTGTCAGAGAATACTGTTTCTGATTCTTACTTTTGTGGTGAGTTCTTCTTTCTAGTCATTTTGCTCAGTGCAGAGTGGCTGTATGAGCGGGCTGAGTCCAGAATATCAACCACGACCTAAGAAAATTTCACCCTAGATGATACTTGTTAGAAGCTAAAATCCTTCTCTCAAATAGCATTCCAGCTATTTTCCTATCTATATGCTTTTATAGACAGATATAAAGATATATAGACATAATCTGTATGTAGTATCTATCAAGTACATATATCTGTATCTGTATATATAAAGTGTATATATATATATTATGTATATATAATGTTCATTTGGTAATTTTTAGTTAATGACCTGCATAGCAGAGCCCTCTGTAGTTGTAAAGTCAATGCCTGATGGTTCCAGGTACAGAATAGCCTATGAGACTATTGTGAGGATTAGGGGAAGGCTGTGGATGAGGGAGAACAGGAAAGGTTGAACTCCCTACGGGATAGAGGCACTGCCTCCAATAACCTGCAAGTCAACCTGATGCTTTGAAACATATGGTTTCAGTTGCTCTGAGGATGAAGACCAAACCCTGAACATGGCTTGCAAGACCCTACATACTTTGGCTTTCCCCAACTCCTTTGCTTATTATGCACCATGCTCCCCTCATCTGAGCCTTGGTCACACTGGCTCCTTCTAGTCTCTCAAATATATGACCTTGGCTAATTCCAGTCCAGGACCTGCCCAGGTCATCCCCTGTGCTTCTTCTACACACTACTTACCTATTCCTATTGACATTCAGATCTCGGCTCACTTTTGCAGGAGGCCTCCCAGGACTCCTCTGATGGGAATAATATGAATTTCTGGTCCTTTCTCACAGCTGCTTATATATCTCCTTTGTAGTTCTTGACACAAGTGTGATTTTACATTTTGGAGTGGTATATTAATATTTAATCACTGTCTATTTTCCCAGCTGGATTATAAACCCCTCCAGGGCGGGGGCTGTGTCTCTTTTCACCCATTACTGCATTCTTTTCCTCTAGTAACAAAGATAATGGTTGAGAGGAAGGAAGGGAGAGAGAGAGGAAGAGAGAGAAGGGGAAGGAGGGACTGAGGGATGGAGGGAAAGAAGGAAGGAGATTATGAAATGGTTGCAGGAGCAACTGCTTCATGCCCTATGTCAGACTTGAAAGTTCTGCTGACCATCACCTGTCAGCCAGGTGAGCATAGCACATCTTGCCCAGGAAAAACTGCATTGGTGTTTCAGTGCCCAGTAACCTCTCACCAGCAAGTCCTGATAAGGTTTGGAAAACAGGTTGGTGGTGTTTAAAGAACTCTGAGAACTTTATTTTATGAAAACAGAAGAGGCAGATGTGAGTAGGTATGGGTATGACCTGATTCTCTTTGGAGTTCTATGGCTAACTGGCCAAGGAGACGATCTCCTACCCTTCAGGGCTCACTCCTCACCCAACCTGGGCTCCTGTGCTCTCATAGGATTGTTGGTTGTGGCAAATGGAACTCTACCCAAGCTAGCTCAGTAGAAGTGGGAGATTTTACTGTAAAGACAAAATAGGCAATTTCATGGACATGAGGCCAAGCTTTGACCAGACCTCATAGGAAATAGACTCCAGAAGCACTGGCAACCAAAACTATGTTCTTGTGTCTCAGGGTTGCGTGGTCTGATTTCTCTCTACTTCACCCTGACCTGTGTCCTTCTTTTTATAAACTTCTGCTGTTTGTAAAGGACTCAACATGGCCACTAGTCCTCAAATATACATGATGAATCGGGTCAAGGTTTTACAATGAAACTGATCACACTATCTGTATTTCTTGGTTGGAATTCTCTAGGGAAAGAATATGGATCAACTGGTCCACACACTATTGGGTAGGTTGTCCCTTGGACATTCACATGAAGTTTGGGTCATATGATAGAAACATGGCTTCCTAGGTCTGCTGTGCTTTAGGTAAGTTTCTTAGTAACCATTTTAAATGAAATGAGCAGATTATGTCTGTAGGTAGCAGTCCAGAGTCATGAGTATTACACAGTTGCATTAAGAATCCAGGTTCTTGCTGTATCACATGCCTTTGGAGACTGCCAAGGCTCATAATAGAGCCATTGAATGCTTTTACTCTCATTCCCAGCGTTGGAGACACCATGGCCAAAAGGACAGAAATGGGTGCTCAATAACCAAGGTAGCCCAACCTTCATGACCACAGTTCACTGGAACAGGAGAGGCCACCTGACTCAAGGTGGGCGATTGGAAGACCCTTCTGCAGGAATTGGAAATTGCAACCATGAAAGACGAATTGTTCTAGGGAGCTGGACCTGCGGTATGTATCACTGGGAGCAGTGCTTGGCCGAATGCTGTCATGAGGACTGAATTACAAAGGAAGCAATTCTTCAGGGGAAGAGAAAGAGGAAGTTGATGTGTAGAGAAACAGAGATGAGAGGTGAAGAAACGCTGCCCATTTAGTTGTTGCAAAAGCCCTACAAAGCAACTGTTATTCTTCTTCCCATTTTACAGTTGGGTAAACTAAGGCTCAAAAAGATTCAGCAATTAGGTAGAGGAAGAAGCCAGACCTCAGAGCAGATGTTGCCCTAGTTCCTGTGGTTGTCTCTGCATGGTGACTCTGAGTGGGGTGGAAAAGGTGATTTTTACCTTTCTCTTTATGCCCAACCAAATCATCAATGCTCTTTTTGTTATTGATTTTCTTGTTTTGTTTTGTTTTTACTACTACAACATGTGCTCCTACTGTAATTTTAAGAAGGTTGTGACTTGTCAAATCACTATGTATACAACTGAACAAATGTATCATTGTGTGTCAACTATACTTCAATAAAACGTAAAAGAATTAAAAAAAAAAAGAGAAAGACACACTGCTTGGTAGCTCCTGGTACCAAGGAGCTACACTGCTTGGTAGCTCCTGTTCCTGGTAGCTTGTCAGGAGATGTGCTCTCTAAGTGGCTTTGTGCTTGCCTGTGTGTTCTGTAAGAATCCCTTCAGTCCTCCCAATAAATCCTTTTTTAAAAATCTTCAGTTCATTTGAGTTGGTTTCTGATACTTGATTCTAAATATCTTAACTAGTACAAAAATCAGGGGATATCAGGAGTAACATGTGTAAAACCAGACTCTGAGAAAACATGTGGTATCACGTGTGACACCGTGGGGACTTCCCTCCCTGTCGTAGGATGAGAAATTGACATTTCCTGGTATATGCTGGCAAAGGAAGGACTATCACCTATCATCACCTGGGACTCAGACTACAGGCCCACAGAAATGGGGATGTCAGGGGCCTTGTTGACCAAATATCAGGATACTAGAATATTTGTTGCTTCTCACAGCCTTTGGTAGAGAGCAACAAAATAGAAGCACATTCTTGTCCAGATGTCCCCCAGGAAAATATACAGAACCCACATAGCTGATATTCCAGTGTCCAGATCAAAAAATTTATTGTTAGATTGATGATAGCTTGGAGGAATTGAGGAATCTTTAACAGATCCCACCATCCTCCACTCAGCCTGCAACAAATCGTATTGTAGGCAGCAGCTGGGGGGCATTCGTGAAAAACCTTGTGGATTTTGGGCTCCTACAGGGAATGCTTTGATTTCAATCCTGGGGAAACAAAAAATGAAGAAGCCCTTCAGGAAAGCTCCTGACAGTTATTCTAACCTCCCTTTGTAACTGTGTAACACACTCACATGCCATTAGTGTCATCTGTTACCAGTAATGAGAAGTCATAATCAGTAAAAATGTCCCAACATCTTGGAGAAAATAATTTTTCATCTTTTAGAAATATTGCATTTTGTTTAAATGGGTTTTTCATAATGATACATAGAAGGAGTATCATTGTAATAATGGGTTGTCAGGGTTGTAGAACTCAGACTCTGTAACCTGCAACTGTACTAATGATATGATTCGTGAACACATGCTATTAAGCAGCAAGGGACAGGCAGGAGCCTTGCATTAGCCAAACTATCTATGCCACCCTCTGGTAGAGGGAAAAATACCTTCCCGGGTCCCAGTGAAACAAGGGTGCTAAAGTGAAGGGTAATTATTTTCTGGCACTGTAAGGAAGCAAGAAAGTCAAAGGAGTCAGAAAAATATTCACAGTGCCAGCTGATAGCATTAAAAAAGTAGTTTAATACTTTTTTTTCTGAAAAATATGGTATAAGAAAAATGAAATAATAATTTCTGTAGTTCAAGTGCCTCCTAAATGCCAGGAAAGATTCTAAGATACCTCTGTACGGTTGGCGGGTGTTAGGTGAATGACCTTGAGCAACCCTCCATCGCCTTCCCCTACCCTCTGCCTATGTTACTGCTTAAATAGAATGGGGAGAGTCAAAGGACCTCAGTTCTTCATAGAGCTCTTCTGAGGATAAAATGAAGGGGACGTTATTCTGAAAGGTCTAAGGTACTTGGCAAATATAAGAGCTCATCAGTTTTTATCTCTTTGCTTTTTTCTCTACTAGAAGGAATACGGTGGGAAAAAAGCGAAGGAGAAGCCGTGGTCAGAGTTTACGTAGCGGTGAGGACAATAGACCAGAAATATAATAACTGAATTAAATGTTATTTTAGATAATTCCTACAGAGAAAAATAAGGCAAGGCAAGGTGAATAGAGAATTTGCAATTGTGTGTCAGGTTTTAGCTCAAATGCCACTTCCTTAGATATTATCTCCCTTGGATTTCTATCCTGGTTTGGAAATGATTGATTACATATATGATCTACCTCTTGTGGTAGCTTATGTAATTCTTGAAGGCAGGAAATGGGTGTATGTATTGTGGGAAGTTATAATAAAAGGAAACCTCATGAAAGTGGACTCAGAATGCTAGAAGGGGAGGCGGAGGCTCCTACTCAGTGTCAGCTGCAGGAGGAATGATCACTCACAGACCCCTTGGCTGAGCAACTGCCGCAGGAAAACACGATCAAGTACAGGCCCCAACAGGGAAATGTGTACATTGCATTTCCTACAGGAATCAGCTACCCCTGCTACTCAGCCAAGGAGAGGAGCATCACCCTGAACTCTTGCCTCTCTCCAATGGGCTTTTGTTTAAAATTATCCCTCCCAGCTCCCTCCTTCTCCTTTTCCCTAAAAGCATATTCCTCTCTCTTGTTGGACTTGCCTGTCCTTTCGCTGCAGCTTGTTTGTCCCGATAGCACATCTCTGCTATTCCCAAATAAGCCCATTGTTTGCTGGTGAAATAACTGGCAGTTCTATTTTTAAGGCTAACAGTGTGTCTGTGTGTGTTTGTGTGAGTTTCAGCCTGGGGAATCTAGAGTACCTTTCACAGTGAAAAACGAGACCCTGACTGAATTTGCAGGTGGTTCTCACCTGACCCTCCCCGGTACCCCCTTTATCACAGGAGTGTTTCCCTGACCTTGTTCCTTTTCTTTTTTCCTTTCCTTTCCTTTCCTTTCTTTTCTTTTCTTTCTTTCTTTCTTTTTTTTTTTTTTTTTTGCCTGGACATTTTGAGACTCATAAAATGCTTGTGCATCAGATGCTAAGAATAATTGCCACCATTTCTCAACCACTGAGAGCTGGCAAAGGTCATGCCAACCTGCAGACTGTGCCAATTGCTTCTCCGGGCACTGTGCTTGTCCTACTTCTTTTCCCTAAGGTTTCTCTTGTGTTGAAGATTAAAGGGAGAAAGTTGATGAAGTAGCCGATCCCAGGGGGACAGACTGGTGGCTACAATGGGCCCTGTCTTTCCCTGGGTGAATAGGTTCCCATTACCTCTGGGCAGAGTGTGGAGTGAGCCCTGTACTTACAAAATGACTTTTTCCCAGGTCACAGCTAGTGAGGGGGGCAGAGCCTATGATCCTCATTATTTAGACAGAGGAAACTGGACTCTGCAAGACCAGTGACTCCTCACAGGACAAGTCAGAACTAGAACTGGGGCTCCCTTAACCATTGTTAGGGATGGCCCAACAGGGCAAATGCTTTTACCAATGCGGATGGGAGAGAAGGTGCAAGGAACCCCAAGATCAGCAATAACCTCTCCTTGGGGACGCGGGTCAGCCATTGATTGGCCACAACGGTGCGGGGGCAGAGCACACTTGCCGAGTGTTGTGGGAGGCCAGAGCCCACTGACCGAGGACGTGTCCCACCCTACCTGTAACCACACGTAAGAACTGGTGGAGTGGGAAAGAGAAAGAAGAGATAATCATGATATTACAGTTTGTCCAGATTCTTGTCCTCAACTAGAGGTGGGGAGGTGGGATAATAAAACAACTGAGGAAGTGGAAGCAGAGAGATGGAGAGGCTTTCCCAGGATCACACAGCCAGTCAGGGAAGGGGCAGGGGACGGGGAGGAAGACCCAGGGGTCCTGCTGCAGCACACGGCAGTGTTTTCTACACCCTCAGACTGAGATTATAATCGTAGAAGAGCAGGTCATGAGCAAAAAAAGAACAATGTACAGAGGTGGAAAAATACTGTTCGGGGAAGGTGAGGTGGGTTTCAGGTGAGAATGATTGGGTTGGCCTTGTCCGCACCCATTCCCATGCTGCCAAATCAGTTTTTTCCCACCTGTCATGTGCAAAGTGGTTCAGTGTACACTGACCTTGCTGCCCAGGTTCTTCTAGCAATAGCCAACATTCTCTCTGCTGCCCAGCACCAGAAGTCTACCATGTTCTCCCTTCATTCATTAGCAAAACGACGTGGCATCATCTGTTGTCATGGTAGTTTTAAAATACTTCCTTCATATATACATATATATATATATATGTATGTGTATAAATATATGTGTATATATATGTATGTATATATATGTATGTATATATATATATGTATATATATTTATTGAAGTTTGATTTGCCAACATATAGCATAGCACCCGGTGCTCATACTGTCAAGTGCCCCCCTCAGTGCCCGTCACCCAGTCACCCCATACCCCCACCCACCTCCCCTTCCACTACCCCTTGTTGGTTTCCCCGAGTTAGGAGACTCTCATGCTTTGTATTCCTCTTTGATATTTCCCACTCAGTTCCCCTCCTTTCCCCTATGATCCCTTTCACTATTTTTTATATTCCTCATATAAGTGAGACCATATAATGTTTGTCCTTTTCCAATTGACTTATTTCACTCAGCATAATACCTTCCAATTCCATCCATGTTGAAGCAAATGGTGGGTATTCATCGTTTCTAATGGCTGAGGAATATTCCATTGTATACATAAACCACATCTTCTTTATCCATTCACCTTTCCATGGACACCGAGGCTCCTTCCACACTGTGGCTATTGTGGACATTGCTGCTATAAACATCGGGGTGCAGGTGTCCCAGCGTTTCATTGCATCTGTATCTTTGGGGTAAATACTCAGCAGTGCAATTGCTGGGTTGTGGGGCAGATCTATTTTTAACTCTATGAGGAACCTCCACAGTTTTCCAGAGTGGCTGCACCAGTTCACATTCCCACCAACAGTGCAGGAGGGTTCCCTTTCTCCACATCCTCTCCAACATTTGTTGTTTCCTGTCTTGTTCATTTTCCCCATTGTCGCTGGTGTGAGGTGGTATCTCATTGTGGTTTTGATTTGTATTTCCCTGATGGCCAGTGATGCGGAGCATTTTCTCATCTACTTGTTGGCCATGTAATACTTACTGTTTCTTCTGATAGACTTTGAACCTCTGAACTCCTTGTGAACCCTTGAACACACCAGCAGTGATCTCACCTCAGGATCTTTGCATTTGCTATTCCCCCTGCTGTAATGTTTTCTCCAGATACTGTTATAATTTGCTCCCTTGATTCCTTTGAATCTTTGCTCAGATATCACCTCATGCAGCCTCCAAGCACCCTATTTGAAATTGCAAACAATCTCCCTAGCATCCTTCTCTTTCTCTTTTATTTTTTAATTATAAAATTTTTAGAACAGATTTTACTTATTTATTTATGAGAGACACACAGAGAAAGGCAGAGATATAGGCAAAGAGAGAAGCAGGCTCCCTCTGGGGAGCCTGATGTGCAACTCCATCCCAGAACCCCAGGATCACGATCTGAGCAGAAGGCAGACACTCAACCACTGAGCCATCCAGGTGTTCTGTTTTTTTTTTTTTTTTTTTGAGAGAAGAGAACATGTGAGCAGGGGAGGTGGGATGGGGTGGGGGTGGGGGAGGGGCAGAAAGAGGGGAGAATTTATTTATTTATTTATTTATTTATTTATTTATTTATTTATTTATTTATTTATTTATTTTAGGGAGAGAGAATCTTAAGCAGGCTCCATGCTCAACAGCACAGAGCCACCCAGGCACCCCAATGACATGCTTTTCTGCTGTATTTTTCTGCATAGCACTTACCCCATCTGACATACTGTTAGGAATTCATTGGACACTTAGGTAGTCAGGGCCAGGGTCCCCAACAAAAAAGCAAAAAAGCCTAGACAGCTAAGACAAAATTGCACTAGCATCCTGTTTTACAGCTTAGACAAGACCACAATAGCATCCTGTCTAGCAGTCTCTGCAAAAGTGACTTTTGCAAAACATCCTGAAACAAAACAAGTAACCGTAAAACATTGGTCGCTATCACAAGTGGGAGCAGCTAGTCTCTAGATGTCAGCCCAAAAGACTAACAACACTTGAACAATAACCTGGTAGGTAAACAGGTGTATGATCAAAGCCATTATTGGCACACCTTAGCAGCCAATCCCAAGGGGCCCACACTCAGGATGCTTAAGATTGTTCCCCTAAAGAGCTTATAAAAGCCCCTAGAGGGACACCTGAGTGGCTTAGATGTTGAGCATCTGCCTTTGGCTCAGGTCGTGATCCTGGGGTCCTGGGATCGAGTCCTGTATCGGGCTTCCAGCAGGGAGCCTGCTTCTCCCTCTGCCTGTGTCTGCCTCCCTCTGTGTGTCTCTCATAAACAGACAAACAAATAAATAAAATCTTAAAAAAAAAAAGCCCCTAGATTTGAATGCCAAAACAGCAACCGTCTCAGGTCCCCTCCCTCTCCCGGAACTTTACACTCTTGCTCAATAAACTTTGCTTTGCTGGTCTTGGTCTGGTCTCCTTCTTCATTCTTTGGAGTGGCATGAGCAGGAACTGTGGGTCCTAGGGGGACAGCAATCCTCTAACAATACTACGGGTTTTCCTTTTGTATTTTATTTTGTCCCCTCACAACTATGTAAGTTCATAAGGGCAGGGTTCTCTGCTGTGTCCTCAGTGGCTAAAGCAGCTCCTGGCATTTGGTAACACACAGTAAATATTTGTGGAACAAATGATGGCTAAGAGAATGCATTCCTCCAGGCTGGACCCGTTTATCATAGCTCCTAGCACGTAACACAGGCTGTGTATGGAATGAGAGAAGACCACCTTTGTTTCTTCCAAGGGTTTCATTTAAAACTCTCCTGATCATTTGCTCTTACCACCCGTGGCTTCATGACTTCATGGTTGCTTTTGTGAAGGGACTGTTTTACCAACGGTATCTCCCATGTTCTGGGCTCTCAAATTAAGTTTTGCCACATTATGGAGCTTTCCCTGATCCCCCAGAGAGACTGTTTGCTGGTGGCTTGCTCCTGTGGCACCCTTGGGCTTGCTTTTGAAATACACAAACCACTTAATAATGTCTGTTTTTTTTTTTTTTTCCCAACAGGCTTTCTGGTGGGGCGGCACATGTGAGCCTCCCTGCTGAGTTCCCAGCACTTCCAGGACCCTGCCTGGCACCTGGTAGACAGTGGATGAGTATTTGTTGACTGAGGGGGCCAGGTATTGTCAACAGTGGCAGAGAGAGAGAGTAAATATGTTCCTTGACCTCACGCACCCCAGTGAGTAATGCTTTAGGGAAACCCCTCCCCTCAGGTACCTCAGTGCACACATCTTTAGGGAAATTCCATCGGAAGATCCAACCTGTACAAGATTATGCACCTCCTGGGGCTCCAGGGTTGAACATGGGAATTCTGCTGTTTATTCAGTGCAAGAAAATTACAACATACTCCCCAGACTTCTTATTTAAAAATTGCTTCTCTTAAGCCTTTCAACTTGCAAGAAAGAGGCAGAAATGGTGTGTCACCAAAAAGCCTCCTTGAGCTAACCAAATAATAATAGTAATAGTAATAATAATAATAATAGCAACAATAATAATAGTTACTAACTTCCTTTATCCTAATATATGATATCTGGTTAAATGCATTGAGTGCAGAGCCTGGGATTCTCAAATATTTTTGTTAGTGTTTTATTGATTCCCATGATTTATGATTTTAGGTATTTGGTCTCTTTCTTTCTGGTTCACCTAGTTGCTGTGGCACCCTGCCCAGACTGTTGCCATATCAGCTCCTGCCAGGTGCCCCCCAAAGCTTCTCCAACACTGGGCAAGGTGCAATGTTTAAGTTTCATGATAAAGGATGCCAGCTTCCCTGCTGTCCTTCTCTACCTAAAGTTTATAAAAGTAGTCTCTTGTATTTTTGTGGATAATTTTCATTCATAAATTGTTTTTTGATGTGATAAGCTAATTGGATACTATTTATTAGTTTATTTATCCATTAATCTGACACTTCATTTTCATATCTTATTCCACATGTTCTTGAGTTTGTTTTCAGTACTTATTCCCCCCACTCCCAGATATATTTTAACCCTATAGTAGTGTTTAATGTAGTGTTTTTAATTTTTGAAGGTTTGGAATGTATTTTGCTGTCTGTTAGGGCAAGATATTTCAGTCTTTGGTGATGCATCCAAAGTTCTAGATAAACTTTAAGATCAACTTGTCAATGCTTTATCAATGTGTCAGTTACCCATTGTCATAATAACTCATTGGCTTAAGACAAAAGCTTTTGTTATTGCTCATGAGTCTATGGGTTAGCTAGATAGTGTTTCTGATTTTAGCTGGGGAGGCTCATATATCTGTGGTCAACTTTGGATTGGGTCATAGCTTGGCTAGTTCTCCCACATATTTGGGGTTTTAGCTGGCTGGAGGCAGTCCTTGGCTGGGACCACTGGGCTCTCCTCCCAGCGGTGCCTCATCCTCCAACAGGCTAGCTCAAGCTTGTGCACACAGCAGTGGCAGGGACTCAGAATCAGAGCAGACGTGTGCAAGGTCTGTGAAGGCTGAGCCTCAGAACTTAGAATGCCGTCTCTTCGGCTGCATTCTGCTGAATACAGTCATAAAACAGGCAGGCAAATATTCAAAGGGTGGGGAAATTGACTCACTCTCTATGACCCCAGTCAAGGGCCACACTCTTTCTCAAAGCTTCAATCACACTGCAAAAGACATGCGAAAGAGTGGCCCTTTGTAGGAGTCATCGATACAATCCTCACGAGCAATCAAACAGCATAAACAAAAAGCTCATTGGATTGGACTTGCATTGAAATAATAGATCTAATTCTATGAGAACTGACATTCTTACATTATTAATGAGCCTTCCCTTCTAACAAAATTGCAATCTCTTCCCACTTATACATGTCTTCTGTTTTTTTTTTTCTTTTAAAGATCCACCTACTTATTTTTTTTAAAGATTTTATTTATTTATTCACAAAGAGAGAGGCAGAGACATGGCCAGAGGGAGAAGCAGGCTGCCTGTGGGGAGCCCAATGCAGGACTCAATCCCAGGATCCTGGGATCACCACCTGAGCCAAAGGCAGACGCTCAACCACTTAGCCACAAAGGTGCCCCTCATGTATTTATTTGAAAGAGAGAGAGAGAGAATGAGAGAGAGAGAGAGAGAGAGAGAGGGAGAGAGCAGGAGCTGGAAGGGCAGAAGCGTAGGGAGAAAAAATCCCATGTGGACTCTGCTGAACACAGATCTGACATGGGACTCATCTCACGACCCTGAGATCACTACCTGAGCTGAAACCAAGAGTTGGGCACTAAACCAAATGCACCACCCAGGCACGCTGTGTCTTCCATTTCTGTAATTTTATAAAATTATGTCCTTTATGGATTTTATAATTATGGATTTTATAATTTTCTTTATATAGAATGATACTTATTAAGTTGCTTCTTAAATAGTGATTGTACTTTGTGTTATGGTATGAATTAAAATCTCTCTTTTGTTTCATTGTCTAATCCAACACTGTTCAATAGAAATATAGTATGAATTACAAATACAGTTAAGATTTTCTTACAGTCACATTAAATATTAATAGGTGAAATTAATTTTTCATAGCATATTTTATTTGACACAATGTATCTAAAATACTATCATTTCAATGTATAACTTATAAACATTATTAATAAGATATTTTACTTTATTTTTCCATATTAAATCCTTAAAATCCAGTGTTTATGTGAGAATACATCTTAATTCTGACTAGCTTCATATCCAGAGCTTAATAGTCACATATGGCTGCTGCTACCAGCATGGCAATTATAGCTATTAATTTTTAAAAATGTTTTTCGTGCATGTAGATGTCACACAGAAATCTCTTATGAACTTATGATGATTTTTCAGTTTGTTTTCTAGTTTTCTCCATAGCAATATATATAATACATAAATTATAACAATTTTCCACTTCCACTTGAATTTTTAACAGTTTATTTTATATAAAAAATCTGTTGCATTGGTTATAACTTCTAAAGACTTGTTAAATAAATACTGTGAAGGGCAGCTGTTTTGCTCCAGACATGATGTCAGTGGAAATGCTTTTATTTAATTAATTAATTTATTTAAAAGATTTTATTTATTTATTCATGAGAGACACAGAGAGAAAGGCAGAGACATAGGCAGAGGGAGAAGCAGGCTCCCTTCAGGGAGCCTGCTGTGGGACTTGATCCTGTAATCAGGCCCTGAGCCTAAGGCAGACATTCAACCGCTGAGCCACCCAGGCATCCCAATGGAAATGCTTTTAGTGTGTCACCATTAAGTATGGTGTCCACTGCTGATTTCTGGAATACAACCTCCCTTATCAACATAAATAAGTCTATTCCTGATTTTCAAACTTGTTTTTTTTGTTGTCTATATTTTGAAGTATAGAATAAGTGTTAAATTTTATCAAGCACTTTTTGGGGGGGCATATATCACTATGGCCATTTGAAATTTTCTTTTAGCATATGCTAAAAATAAATCGCATTAAGAGACTTTTTTTTTTTAACATTAAGAGACTTTCTAATGTTGGACTATCCTTGCTTCTTCAGAAGAAGGATCCTTAAAGGTTTATTTTTTTACACCAATAGACTGACTCACTTTGCTAACTTTTTATTCCAAAATTTTGTAATTGAGTTAAGTGAGATTAATGTTCACTTTTATTTGTGTGTGTGTGTGTGTGTGTCTGTGTGTGTGTATATTCTTTTTTGGTATATTTATATTTATTTTATTTTTATATTTATTTTATTATATATATTCTTTTTTTGGTATTTTTAAAATTGGAGTTCGATTTGCTAACACACAGCATAACACCCTGTGCTCATCCCGTCAAGTGCCCCCCTCAGTGCTTCTGGTTTTACTACTAGTGTTGTTATATCTGTTATATACTTGGTGTTTAAATATGTCAGGAACTATTTTTTGCAGGTTCCAAAGAATATCACCATAAAAGCTATCTTATTCAGATGCCTTTGATGCAAGTGGGGTTAATTGCTTTTCGACTTTGATGATGTACTTAGCTCTCTATTTCTTCTGTACTAATTTAATAATTTATCTTTTCCAGAGAAATTTTATTTCCAGAGAAATAAAGGATGACATTTAGATTTCCAAATGTAATGTTAAAAAAATTATATAGGGTATCCTACTTTAATTTTTATTATGTAATATCTTAATTATCCCAAAAAATATAAAGAATATAAATAAAAAGAATTTTTTTAAAAAAACTTATTTATTCAAGAGAGAGACACACACACAGAGGCAAAGATACAGGCAGAGGGAGAAGCAGGCTCCATGCAGGAAACCCAACATGGGACTCGATCCCGGGACTCCAGGATTGCATCCTGGGCTACAGGCGGCACTAAACCTCTCAGCCACCCGGGCTGCCCCACTTTTATCTTTTAAAATATTAGATAAACATAGTAAAATGTTAATAGTTGGCAAACCTCGCATCGGGTTCCCTGCATGGAGCCTGCTTCTCTCTCTCTGCTTGTATCTCTGCCTTTCTCTCTCTCTGTGTGTATTCAAATAAATAAATAAATAAATAAATAAATAAATAAATAAATAATCTTAAAAAAGATAGAAGTATAATGATATTTTTGAAACCTTATGATTCCATCTCTGATTTCATTTTTATCCCTATTGACACACATGGCTCCGGGTCATATTTAATTTTTTATGGATCTGGTATATATGATCTATTCTTTCTCATAATTTAAAATGACCTCTATGGACTGTATTTTTTTTTCATTTTTCAGTCCTAATGGCGTTCACTTGTTTTGTTGTCTGTCTCTTTTGAGTGGACTGACAATATGTTTTCTATTGTACTGATCATTTCAAAGAGCCAGCTCCTGGTTTTATTTATCAAGTGCACTAAACGATTTGTCTTATATATTGTAGCTTTTACTTTTTCTCCTCTCTTTCCCTGTTTTACTTCCTTCTGGCTTCTTTTGTTCATGAGTGTGTGTGTATCTGTATGTGTGTTAGTATTTACTTGCAACACACCTAGTTTATTTCATTTTCTGTATCTTCTAATGAATGCATTTACAAGTCTAGTCTTTCTCCTTTTTGATTGTTCATAGATTTTAATATATACTAATCAGTTATTTCTAAATAACTTGAAATTTCAGTATGAGTTCCATTTTGTCTCCAGTGTAA